CATATAGTTGTCTGTTTTTCTAATATATCTATATTATTAAATTAATTCCATCGAAATACAAATGGCTAACCTACTGAGCATTCACTGCTGGCTAATAAAGTGTGCTCCAAGTGTGGAATAAATCTGGGCATCTTCAGAATGGTGCACAGACAGCAAATGTCTTTGCAGTTTAGTTTGCTACGTCATGCGTGATGCATGACAAACTGCACAACATTGCCATCTACTGGCAAGCTGTTTAAACATCCCAACAGTGTGTAAATATATATATATATTTTTTTTATTTACATATTTATTTGAACAGATTGGGTTGTATTCATTCTACAGCATTCTACAGCAGTAGACTTACACCTATTTACCTATTTTAATTAGTTCAAACTATTTTAATTTTAAAAAATGTGTCCACACTTAAGGTTGTGTTGTTGTAATGTTAAACCACTAGAGGGAGCGCAACTCCTTTTTCCTGTGGGAAACGTTGGAATTTGGCCTAATCAAATTGTGATTGTGGGTAATACAGCAGTTAATTAGTTCTGATAAATAAGCAGAAATACAAATATATTTCAGCACATTTTCAGATTCTGGCACTATTTTATCCATTCTCCGTTTGTTTTGTTTTTTTCAATGAAAAAGAGAAGACAGTGATCAAAGTAGGCTTTTTTAAAATAGCTACATACAGTGCCTGCAGAAAGGCACATTGTGTTGCAAAGTCCAACAAATTGAAAAGTCCAACATATTTAAATTGTTCATTAATCATATTAGATCTGTTCTACTGTCGTGAATCCCTGTCAAAAGGTTCTATACACTTTAGTTATTAATATGTACTTTTAAAGTACTAATATGTAGGCTACCATTTTGGGGTATCTTTTGTACTGTATCTTGTGGTACCACCCCAGTGATAGCTTTGTACCTTTTTTTTCTGAGTGATAAAGATTGCTAATACTTAAGCACTGTGAAATCAATTGGAACATATTGGGGGAAAACTCCAGACACTACTAAGATCAGGACATCATATCAAATTGAGCAAGCAGATAAGAGGGGCAATTGTCAAAGAAATGAGCAGCAGGCCAAGCGAGAATCTGTCCAGACATCAACAACCTCATCAGCACTTCACTTACTCACCCGCTTAAAGAGAGTGAATTGAAGGAATCCACTTGTGAGAAATGTCAGTAGTGCCTGGAGTTTGTAAATGAGATGTGTAATTCTTTCATTTTGGTCAGTGTTCAATTTGTAGAGGAGTACTCTTGAATAAAATGTGTTGAATGTTATTAAACAAGAAGTCAACGTTGTGCTGTTTGGTAAATAGATTTTGGAGCTGTAATTTCAGTGTGCGGACATTGTTTTTTCTTTAGCAGGAACAAAATGCAAAAATACTTTCTGATATTTTCTGAACAGCACTGCAACTCCTTCTTTGGTCATATTCAGTCAGTTTTGATCAACCGTGTGCTCTGAATCAAACCCGCCACACAGTCATGTCTGCAGTTTCCAAAGTCCTTCAGTGCAAGTCTATTTGCTGGCAGGCTGAAACTGAGGCAATTTTCTTTTCTTTGATCAAGTAATCAGAAGGAACCATCAAAGTTGGCAATTACTGTTCCTCAAACGTGACTTAATTACATCCTATAGCTGTTCAAAGACAAATGTTCGTACGGAACACATTTGCCATCCAAAGGGGGAAATGAATGCCATTTATTTTCTCTACTAATTAATCTATTATAATGAGGATCAACCATGTAATGGCATCTACACGGACCGGATGCGCTTACACACCAATATAGCTTTTGAAACGAATAATCAATTAGCTATACAGATGACTTGGATCAAATTACTCTCAATCGATTGCCCCAGAATATTGCTTAACCTCATACTGTGTGTGTTTCTAAGTGTGATGAATGGGAGCCATTCTTAAGAATTGTTCTGGGGGTTGAGTTTTACAGCTATCCCTATTCTTACCCTCTCAAACTAATGAGGGTTAAGATTTGTGGGGTAGAAACAGAACAATCCTCTCCCCCTCTGAATGACTGAAAAAGCCACAGAGAATATACAGACTTCCTGCCACAAATCTCTCATTGATTTTCCTTTTAACACTAGCTAAATGGAGATGCGCTACAGCACTATATTTGATAAGACTGCTTTTATATGTGAATACACATATGGACAAAAGCATATGCACAGCGCATATACACAAACAAACATGCCCTCTGCATCAATACGTCTAAATGACTACAATCAATGATCTATCTACACATCAAGTGTTTTTACTTGGCGTCGAACTAATAGATATGTATATGTAACCCGTGCTCTTCACATGAAGTTCACCTTGACCTTGACGACCTAACACTATGCTTACATTACAAATTGATTAACTCAACTTGAACTAACTCTCATATGAACCCATCTGACTTTTTTTTTTGTTGTTTCCAGAATGTTTTTTTTTTGGGGGGGGGATCTAAGTTGTAAATAAAACAAAGATTATTGGAGTATATTTTACAAGAAAATACTATTTCAGTCTTTGTACTTTAAAATGTGATGTTGCCATTTCTTTGTAGTTATTGTTTTTTTAATTACTAGCAATTTCTGAGTGAAGATTTCTACACCAAATTTGTCTCAGCGTAGAGCTTTAGGAATAAGCTCCCAAATAAACTAAAGAGCAACCATACACTTACGTTAGTGGAATGTTCTGTGTGTTCTGCTGGGGATTTATTTTTTGGTCTCAATTATTTACAAAGCATTTAATATAAACAAACACATATTTCATAATTTGTCAATGTAATAGTTACACAGATTAAGGTAACGGAATGTAAAAGAATTGTCAATTAGAGTCAGCAAAATCCATTGAAGAAATGTTTTCGCTATATGTTTCATGTCTCTCAGGTGGATTTATCTTCAGCTCTCCAACAAAGTTAATTGTCTGCAAAAGCACAACTGGATCAATGGTGCATCATTTGTGTGATGCTGTTATTCACATTATCCTTTGGTATCCGGCAATATCTTTGATTAACTGACAATAAATCCACCTGACCTCATTTCCTAGATGGTTCATCTTTTGTACACAACCTAAAGGTGAGTATTGATCTTGTATTGAATTTCTAATCAAGATCAGTATGCCTATGCCATCTTATTAGCCTGACTGGTTTATCATGTCAAGTAATTGCTAGCCAAGGATTTTGGTTTTGTGTAATTAATTATTCACGTTTTTTAAAAAGGTCATTTAAGAGAGGAAATTGATCATGGTTTGATTTCAGTGGAATTGTCTCTCAGGTGGATTTATCTTCAGCTCTCCAACAAAGTTAATTGTCTGCAAAAGCACAACTGGATCAATGGTGCATCATTTGTGTGATGCTGTTATTCACATTATCCTTTGGTATCCGGCAATATCTTTGATTAACTGACAATAAATCCACCTGACCTCATTTCCTAGATGGTTCATCTTTTGTACACAACCTAAAGGTGAGTATTGATCTTGTATTGAGTTTCTAATCAAGATCAGTATGCCTATGCCATCTTATTAGCCTGACTGGTTTATCATGTCAAGTAATTGCTAGCCAAGGATTTTGGTTTTGTGTAATTAATTATTCACGTTTTTGAAAATGTCATTTAAGAGAGGAAATTGATCATGGTTTGATTTCAGTGGAATGAAGCTTGTTAACAAGTGAAGGGCAATCAGTATACGATATACACAAAGGAAACATGATTGGATCAACATTTATGGATCAATCAGAGAAATAAAAGAAAATAATAAAGTCACAATGGCAACATGGCAGATGTAGGCTATTATGTCTGGAAATGTATATGCTTTTGTTTTACTTGTTTATTGATTCATTACAATATTTTACATGATTTCGTTGTTTAATCCATTTTGAGACATTTTATACATAGGTATACATTTAAACAAAGATATGATTATTTTTCTAATTTATTCTAAATGCAACTGTTGGCCGTGTAATTGTATGCGTATGCTTCTACTGCGTTGATTTGAAAGGGCAGCTGTCATACTATTCTTCAGTAAACAGGTGGCGCTCATGCTCTAAATTCCTCCATGCCATCAAGTAAGAAATAAAACTTCATGAAAGGTTTTTTGATCATACGATAAGCTTAATAAATGTGATTGCTTCAATATGGACTGTCTTTAAGCAAACTTTATTGACGTCATACTTGCTCTTAAGTGGGCAAAACCTGAGGAGGTTAAAAAGGCAGGCGCTCTTGAAAGTGTGTATTCTTTTACACATAAGTATAGGCTATGTTTCAACAGCATTTGCAGACAACGTTTGAGTAACCGCAAAACTTTGGATTACAAGTTAAGCCTGGTTAGAGTGCACTAAACAGACGCGTTCTCCTGAGGTAAACCATAGTACCACTTAATCGTTGTCTGTAGCCTATCGGTGTTTACAACGACAGTACAATAACCATAAATATTTATCACGTTATTATAGATTTACATATTTAAAAAAAACTCACAAAATGTTTAGTATTTTGTTTACAACGTCTAGAAACTCATAATAAAAATTATGTGTCCGCGAGACGAACCTCAACTAAAAGTGGTCAAGGGAGAAAAAAAAAAGCCCTGACAGAAATGTTTTTTTTTAAAAACGTCGACAGTGATGTGGATCGCAAAGTGGATTCCATTTATGCTCGGACAGTCTTTGGATATTCTTATTAAGTAAAGTGCTTAATGGTGCCTAACCAGCGAACATTCACTGTCCAACTGAGCCAAAAGGACCGACCTTCTCCAGAGATCCGAGCACATGCGCAGTATCTTTACACATAGTGCGCGTACTTCGACCTTACATACATATTCGGTCAACTGAGCAAGCAACAACACACTTTGACAGTTGATGTGGATTGACATGAACTTTTAATAATTTTGGAATGTTAATTTATGTTCATAGCCTACATTTTTTTTAAGACAACCCGTTGTTTTGAACGATTGCTGAAGATATGACAAGATATCAAAAGGTTGAATATAACGCAGTGTCGTGATATTAGTGTTTTTATCGTAATATCGGAACTCTCAATATTGTTTTTTATTCTGTTCTCGTGGGGTGTGTCCATCAGAGCAGCACTGAGCGCTTGTTGGAGTCTGTCCGGATGTGTATATGATGTCTGATCACTTGTTCCTCACCAGTGCGCAGCTGGCGCGCAATGGATTTATTGTGGAAATTGTTCTATATCGTATTTAACCAGTTTCTCTGCTCGCTGAATGGATCTGAATAAAGCGACGATGATATTCGCAACTTTTTGGATAATGTTGCCTGTTCTTGGTAAGTTGAGATGCATGTGTTCCAGTGTTTGTTTGCGCGTTACATCTGTATCAACTAGACACATATGTAATTCAGAAGCATGTATACATTTTTTTTATTTTATGATTAGGTTGATTGTTCATATTATTATTATTATTATTATTATTATTATTATTATTATTTCTAAATCCTAATCATTACTTGAGACATTTTATATGTAGCAGGAATTAATAGGAAATAAAATAAAATGTTAAGTGTTTTGTCTTTTATCATATAAGTTGTCTCTATTTGTTTGAATTGGGTCCACTAAAGTAACAAGGTAAGTGATATCACCTTAATTATGAACATTAGAAAATCGTGGTAATGATGTGCCAGACAATTTCGCCATTCTGTCTTATTCACATCTGTAATTTTTTCTTTTCCCTGCACAGATTTAATGCACTTCTCAAAGGCAGATGCGATCACACAGTCTCGGTCGGTTCGGCTGGACTGCGTTAGGGCGCATGAACAGTGTTTGGCAAAGTATGGCTGCAGCACTAAGTACCGAACCATGAGACAGTGTGTGGCCGGGAGAGCCGGTAACTTCAGCATGCTGGCTGAACCCGAGGCGCAGGACGAGTGCCGGAACGCCATAGAGTCCATGAAGCAAAGTCCTCTATACGACTGCAAGTGTAGGAGAGGAATGAAGAAAGAGAAAAACTGTCTGCGCATCTTCTGGAGTATATACCAAAGTTTACAGGGTAATCAGATCCAGGATGAACAGAATCCAATATGAGAAATGATCATGCCTTGTAGACCACTTTAAGTCTTGGAAATGCATTCAGAGCTTTTATAACCTAAAACAAAAGTTCAAAAGTGCTGGTTCTAAGAATGATACATGTAACAGTTTGGGTTCTTGCAAAATTACTATTTCTTACTGGTACTTTGCTGGTGTTTATCTTCCAGCCAATGACTTGCTAGAGGACTCGCCATATGAGCCAGTCAACAGCCGTTTGTCTGATATTTTTCGTCTGGCTCCAATAATATCAGGTAAGTCTTATGATAATATATATATATATATATATATATATATATATATATATATATATATATATATATACATCACACACTCACCGGCCACTTTATTAGGTACACCTGTTCAATTGTTTGGTAACACAAATTGCTAATCAGCCAATCGCATGGCAGCAACTCAATGCATTTAGGCATCTAAATGTGGTGAAGACGACTTGCTGAAGTTTAAACTGAGCATCAGAATGGGGAAGAAAGGGGATTTAAGTGACTTTGAACGTGGAATGGTTGTTGGTGCCAGACGGGCTGGTCTGAGTATTTCAAAAACTGCTGATCTACTGGGATTTACAGAGAATGATCCGAAAAAGAGAAAATATCCAGTGATCCGTTGTGTGGATGAAAATGCCTTGTTGATGTCAGAGGTCAGAGGAGAATGGGCAGACTGGTTAGAGATGATAGAAAGGCAACAGTAACTCAAATAACCACTCGTTACAACCAAGGTATGCAGAATACCATCTCTGAACGAACAACACGTCGAACTAGTGTTGCTTTCGTCAACGAAAATTATGACTAAATATAGTCGTCAACGAACCTTTATCACGTGACGAAGACGAAACGAGACGAAAATGCTGGTCATGTGACGATGACGATAATTAAATGTACAATGCAATATCGTTGACGAATAAAAACGAGACGAAATGTGGCTTACAAAATAAAAACTATGCTAAAATGTCTCTTCATTTTCGTTGACCAAAACGAGACGAAACGAAATGTTATAACATTATTTCGTCTCGTTATTATTATTATTTTGCAGTATTTCTGTTTCCTGTGTCTCGCTTCAG